CTAATATGTGGCTGGATTTTGATGTGAGAGACAACAGGAGATGCACTTTTTCACTGGAGGAAACGTTATTATGGATTATGGACTCAATGGTATTTGAGTTAAAAACGTCTTAATGCTGGATTTGTTTCAGCTTTTGTCTTCTCCAGATGTTAACTGATGGACTGGAGTGCTGTGGATTACTTGTGGATTATTGTGATGTTTTTATCAGCTGTTTGGACTCTCATTCTGACGGCACCCATTCACTGCAGAGCATACAATAGTCTGAAAGGAGCTTGCGTGACCGTTTGTTATTTGCAAACAAAGCAGCGTGTTCAGTCATGTCTGTGTCTGAAGCTTGTGTTTCATATTTCATTATAGACTGTTTTTCAGCAGATTCTGGATCTTTCATGAAGAGGCCAGTCGCTCACAGCCTCATAATCAAAAACATGAATTCCAGAAGCATTACTGGCCTCGGGCTGTGTATGCTGGGAATTACCGCCGCTTCTCAGCACTTTAAGCACTGAAATCATGTGATTTTGGCGTTACGACACAATTCAAGATGCTTGAGAAACATGAATTACAGAAATCAGCCTGGAGTTGGTTCTAAACGACCCGTTTAACGTCTTCAGATGACTGAACATCTGCTGAGAGCCGCTGTGAAACATTCACTGGAAGCAGTTCATCCCTGTTCGTGTTTGTGTTACTATAGTCAGCGTGGGTTAAACCATATGACGAGAGACTTCACTAGGACATCTAACTGCGAAAACACTCAGAACACCCTAGCAACCGCACAGCAGAACCCCGGCAACCAGCCCCAACAGGCCAGCGCAGTGATATTTGACAGTCGCCGCGTCTCTGTTCTTCTGTCCTGAGGAATTCTGGAAAGCCCCTCGGCCTCGTTCTGAGTGCAGACGACAGAGATTCACGTGAGATGAGTGTGAGCCGCTGTCTGACGTCAGCTCCTCCACCCAAACTCACACTCACTCAACACACATCTTCTGTCTGACTCGAGAAGGTTTCCTGGCAGATTTTACAGCGGTTATGAGCTGATGAAATCCGAAGCGTCTCTCTGCATGTTTCACGTTTTTTCTGACTTCAGATCTGTGCCAGCTTTGTTCTCCTCAAACTTCAGTCTGCGCTTAGACGAGAGCGCCACCATCTGACTGCAAGTGTTTCAACAGGTTTAACCAAGTTTTAAAAAAGTACACTTCCATAATGTACTTAAAGGCACAATATGTAATTTTCGCCGCTGGAGGGCGCGTATTCGAAATAAACAAAGCGACAAAGGCGTAGTTTGATGACGCTGTGACTGAGTGTGGAATCATGGGAGTTCTCTTAAGATAATCTAAGTGTACTAAAATGTGCTATTTTGGGACACCATGAATACGAACTAAAATACGCTTTTAATATACTGTCTCTGCATTTAAGAAAATGTATTTAGTCAGCACTTGTAGTACACTTGAGTGTTCTAGTGTATGAAAGATGGGTTCAAGTGGTGACTAAATACATTTTTTAAATACAGAGATAGTATGTTAAAAGCACATTTTAGTTCATATTCATGGTGTCCCAAAATAGCACAGTTGAGAACACTTAGATGATCTTAAGAGGTACTAAAGAATCATTTTTAGTGTATTAAGTACAAAATTAGTGCATGAAAATAGAGCACTTTAAGTGCATTATGGAAGTGTACTTTTTTCAACCTGGGTTGAGATCAAAACAAACCCCATTTATTTTCTCAAAACACACTCGTGCTCTCATCAGTGATGTTTCATTCTAAAGAAATAGATGTTTGTCGTTATAATCTTTCATCTAAATGTACTAACTTGCTCGACATCATCTAGTTCAGCAGTTCTGACTCCATAGCTTCTCATGTAGACTTAACACTAAAATACATTTGTTTATTGAAATAAAGCAGAATTAAAATATAAAAAGTAGATTCAAAAGTACACAAAAATTAGAAATGTTGCCTTGGAAATAAGCTTAAAACTGATTGATTAAAGCACTAAAATTACTAAGTGGATATAAAAAACTAAAACTGAAACTGAATTAAAAATAAATTAAATATGATTAGTAATATTTAATAATAAAAATGACAAAAGCATATAAAAATTGACCAAAAATAAACTAAAATTAATATGAAAACATAAAGCTAATCAAAATATTAATAAAAACTATAATAGCATCTAAATAACAATACTAAAAAAAAACTGCTTTAATGACAAAACTGCCTTTATAGGTTGAAAATAATTGTGTAAAATAATTACATTCTTTAATTCGACAGGTTTTGAAAAAGTGAATGTTTCACACAGTTCACACGTGATTTTTCCAGTGGTTTGTGATTACAGGACAAGGCTTATTTTCTAAACTATTTATTACTCAGAAACAGCAGTTTCTCCCCACTCACAATATATCACTCATATATCCGTAACACCACGAGAACCCTGGTTCTTAATAAAAATGACAACTGTTGAGGGAACTAATTCAAATAAAAAACCTCATATCAGCTTACATCTTCATTTGTAGCCGTTTCGGCTTATTTTAAAGCTTTCGTCATGTTCAGTGCTTATCAATATTGTAAAAGCATTAATATCAAATAACGCTAGATTTGGAAAGTGTTACCGCCGGGAAATACAGGAGGAGATGCTGTGGGCCTTCGGTTTCCTCCGCTTCAGCACGTGATTCTGATATGAAGCATCAACTCCTGATGGATAAAATCATTCGTTTCTCACTGAAATATCACACTACAGAAGTAAAACACCCAGAATGACTCATAAACACACTCACTGTCACACGAGTCAAACACACGGTCCAGTAGATAGTTAACTGAAAACAGTTTAATTGTATTAACGATCAGCCAGAGAACAGTTACTGCATGACTTCATCACAGCTGCTGGAAAACACGTGCTAGTTTCACATTAGTTACCAAAGCATGTTCACGTTTATGTACATAGTGCAAAAGACACGCCGATGAAGATCACTCCAAACACAGAGAGAGAGAGAGAAAGAGAGACACGGATCCGTTAGCACCGCACCGAACGCTGCTACAGAAGCTTATTGCACCGAGATCCTGCTGCTCCATTCATATGGAGTACCGGATCCATTAGCCATAAACACAGACAATTAGTGAACATCATCGTTATAACATCACAAATCCTTCATGTGGAGATGAACGTGGCTTCACCTCTCAAGCGCTCCACTACAGACGGAGGAGGAAGAGCAGAGTAAATCAGAGTAAACTAACGCACACAGACAGGAGCAATTTACACAGATCTGTCAGAACCAGGAGAAACGAGCCAAACCCGAAGACACACGTGGAATAAAACACACTCCGGATCAGTTCCCGAGTTCAAGCGCCATAAACAGAGACAACCGGAGAGTATTAGAAACATTTAAACATGTTATTTACACAGGACTGGTTCATTTGTTCAAGACGTCTGCTGCTTGTTTGTTAATGCTTCGCGTTCACTTTTCCCGGTTAAACGAAACGCACGTTCAGATGAGAGCCATGGAGAAAACTTCATTGATTTTAAGAAATAATTCACCTAAACACTCAATCATTTACTCACGTTAAACACGTGTGACTTCATTTCTTCAATGCAACACGGACGAGATGTTCAGAAGACTGTTCAGCTGCTCGTTTTTAAGGGAGAAGCACAAAAACACTGTAAAGCATCATGATAGAGATTCATTTGATTCAGTGACTCAGTGATTCAGTACAGCTCTCAAATATCATACTTTAGAGGAATAGTTCACCCAAAAATGATCATTCTGTCATTATTTAGTTCTTACTTTCTTTCTTACTGACTTACTTTCTTTAGTGGAGCACAAAAGACTATATTTTAATTTATTTGTCTATATACCAGAAGTCAGTGAGGTCCAAAGTTGGTTCTTTAAAATATCTTTATTAAATGGTGATTTAATGGTGCTTTAAGTCCGGTTACACGACCAAACCGGTGGCGTGTTTGCTGTTGTTTACTTTGTGAATGAGTGATTTCAGATTTAGTTGTTCACCCTAATCCAAACTAAGCATGCAGGCGTCTGTTATGATGCTTCACAGTGCTTCTGTATGATTTCTGAAGGCGTGATATGAGCGCGAGTTATTCACAGAGAGCGTGTGAGCGGTTGGTCTGTCCGTTATCGGTTCCTGAGTCGTGTTTGTGTTACGTGTGACCTCTCATCCCGTGTGTGAACTCGCCGCCGGTTCGGTGAGATCAGAGGAGTCGAGCTCCTCCTCGTCGCTGCGCCGCTCTTCCTCGTCTTCATCCTCCTCATCCTCGGTGCTGCTCTGTCTGCGCAGCTGCATGTTCTCCAGGGTTTTGGAGACCCAGGACTCGATCCTGGAGCTGAGTGGTGGCACCTGCACAGAGATGGGCTCGGGGGTGTAGTCCTCCTCCTCTTCCTCCTCCTCCTCCTCCTCCTCCTCCAGCATGCCAGGCACCAGTGTGCTGGTGGTGCTGGTGATGGAGGAGTTGAGCCAGTCTCTGCAGCTGCCGTCTAGAGAGCCGGTGTCTGTGCTCTGCTGGGATGCCCACTCCAGCCGGTCGTCCGTGCGGGACTCGTCTCTCTCTGGAGCGCGCGCAACCGTCGGCTGCGGAGGCTGCTCTTTGCTGCTCGCTCTGCTGACGGGTTTGGTCTCCAGCGGCTCAGGAGCATCTGCGCTCTCCACCATCGTCCTCCAGTTGGTCTCTGCAAAGAGAAGATTCAGAGTCAGTCGTAGGCCTGGCGATAAAACGGTATCGATATTTATCGACGGTACACCTTCTTCGATATTGATAGAACATTTTTTCGATATGGCGCAGGATATAGACACGTGCTCTGAGTGACGCAGACAGCACACACAAACACGAACATGAGTGAAATTTTCCCACCGGTTAACCCAAGCATTCACATAATGCCTCTCATAACCTTGCACTTCAGTTACATCTGATCAAATGCACATTTTCATTCTTTTGCTTGGGTTGAACACATCATTTTTGCTTGGTTGTAACAGCAGCTATGCTCATTTTTCTCTATTTCCTTCTCTGTTTCTGCCTAACTAGGAATTACACACGCTTCAGTCTGGATCCAGCCCTTAAGCCCTGTTCACACCAAGAACGATAACTATAAAGATAACGATATTAGCGTCCACACCAGACGATATCGTCTGATTATTCTAAGCGTACACTCGTATGTCGCTTTCAATTCTCCAGCTCGTGACAGCAGGATATTAATATTGTTATTTTCCTGTTTATTACTGTGAAGCTGCTTTAAAATCATCCGTAGTGTATAAAGCGCTATAGAAACAAATGTGACTTCACTAGATTTTTGACATAACCTTGAGTGTATCTGACAGTTTAAGTGCAATAGTTTGTGAAAGTGATCTTGGTTCATCACTCACTCGCTGTGACAATCTACTTTCTGGAGGTTTAAACTGGTAAGGCGTTAAAAGTGTGTCTTACCGTACTCCTTCTCGTTGACCTCTGAGATGGGCTCGGAGATGACGCTGCAGAAGGAGATGGCGCTGGCGGCGGATGGGTTTCTGGAGTGGCCCATGTGGTGCGTGACCTTCTTGACGTTCTTCAGAGCCTCCTCGGCCTGCTCCTGCTCCAGAGCGCTCACCATGTCCTTATACGCCCGCCGCGCCTCCTCCGTCAGAGAGACCAGCTTATTGAACAGAGCCTGAACACACACACACACACACACACACACACAGATACAGTCATGCACCTGGCAGATACATTTATCCTTACATTGCATTTCATGTATATACTTCATCAGTTCATGCATTCCCTAGGAATTGAGTGAGCATGCATGAGTGTGTGTGTGTGTGTGTGTGTGTGCATCAGTGTGGTGTGTACCTCTGCTCCAGAGTAGTTGAATATTCCCACAACGCTCACCGGCACCAGTTTATTCACACAGCGGCCCAAAGCCTTTCGACCCAGAGCGAACACAAATGGGATCTCCTGCTCCCTTGCCATGGCGATGACGTTATAAAGGGCCTCATCCAGACCGCCTGCACACACACACACACACGCACGCATGCACGCACGCAGGCACATGCATATGCGCACGCACGCACGCACGCGCGCACGCACACACAAAATATAAAACACTTTCCAACCAAACTAAATAAACCCAGAAAGCTGCCACCTGTTTCTACAGGTGTAGACAGCTGATTCAATCCTTGACTCTCAATCTGACCTTTGGCCTGGATCTTCTCACAGTTGGGTGAGATGATGACACACTTGATCTTGTGCAGTTTCATGTGTTTGGTGACCTCTCGCAGCCCCATGACCAGCCGCCGCTTGGCTTTGGCTTTGATGGTCTCCTTCTGATAAACCCGCTCCTGAAATCGAACCAGCTCCTGCAGGAGCAGCGTCACACTCTCATCGATCTCCTTACTCAACACCTGATTACAGTACCTGACACACACACACACAGAGAGAGAGAGAGAGCGCTTTAAATGTCATGATGCATCAAACAGACTGATAATCTCAAGAGTAATCCTGATGATCAACATCTGTGTGTAACGGCTATTTCACAACTGACACATTGAACATGAAGTTAATTAAAGAACTTACATGATAAGACATTAACTACGACAAAAACATTCAAATAAATGTCTTCAGCCTTAGTTTTTATTTCATATAACGGAACCCTGTTTCCGCCACTGAATAAAAAATAAAAAAAAGGTCATTACAACTTTACATCTCACAATTCTGAGAAGTGTCAAAATTCCGAGTTTATATCAAGCAATTGTGAGGGGAAAAGTCAGAATTGCTAGATAAAAATTCGCAATTAGCTTTTTGTGTTTTTTTATTCAGTGGCAGAACTGAAGTAGTTGAAGGTATAGTTCACCCAAAAATGAAAATTTTGTTATTAATTACTCGCCCTCATGTCGTTCCAAACCCGTAAGACCTTCGTTCATCTTCGGAACACAAATTAAGCTCTCAGAATGCATCAAAAATATCTTAATTTGTGTTCCGAAGATGAACGAAGGTCTTACGGGTTTGGAACGAC